AAATTTTTTATCAAAAAGTATTACTCTACTATAAAAATTTATAATTAAACTATCACTAACCTCTGATTAAATTCGATGCGTGGTTCTACGCAGCATATGCACATTATACACCATGATACAGATATCATAAATATTATCAATAAACCACATATTGAACTATATATTATCTCTATAAAACTTAAATACTAATTGTAAATTAAACAATTTGATGTAAACAGATATTTTTCGGGTATATATTATACGTGAGATTACATATTGCTACAACATATATTAATTTTAAAAAAATATATATATATATAAAAATCTTCTATATATTTTAGATAAATTTATCCTTTTGTGTTTTTCTTAAAATTAATATTTAATGTATGATATCAAATGATTAAAATTTTTCGCATAAAATTATTCAATTTTTGTACCGATTTAAATATCAAAGATAAACCTAAAAATATTGTAATAAAGATTATTAATTTATGTTTATGAAACTGCACATTCCGTGTTTCAGTGCGAATATTTTACCGATCCGCGGAAAGATTCACAGAAGTTCTCTCGACATATCAAGAACTGACCCAAACAACACAAAGTCTAAAATTATGACATAAGACGTCTTTAAATCGTCTTTTAAACGCAAAGAACGTCTTATGACCTGGTTTTAGACCCTTGTTGTCTGGGGATTGATTGTGACACGCGACAATGTGTCAATCACTCTAACTTAACATCAGGAAGACCGTCATAATTACAGTTACATCACTAGTATATCAATAGATCAATATGGCGAGTAAAAATAAAAAGATATTCCACGATTATCAAATTCAGTCAATCCATATCTTTTGTAGCACAATAGAAAAATGTGGCTAAAAACAAATTTCTCTACCTCAAAAAATCTCAGGAAGATTTTACAAAGAATCTTAACAATCTAAAGGACCTGATATAAATTATAAGTCTTACAAACACTAAAACTTTCAATAATAAACAATTTATTAAGACCGAATAATGTGAATATACAACAAGTAAGAGTTAAAGCCCATAACGGTCGAAGCTGGATCTTAAATGTTTAAATAATTTCCATATGAACTTATATACTACATATATGTAGTCATTTGAATTGCGCGCCGATTTGGTTTTAAAGACGCAACTGAACTACTGTAGTAATATCGCAAATTAAATTGACAAGCAATTTAATAACACTAAATCTTTCAACCGTTAATGAATTAAACTTGATTGTTAAAAGTTAATCATAATCTTATTTCTAATGACAGATAACAATCAATAATTCAAAACTCCTTATACATAGATGCATCATCGAGTACGGTCAATTCATACTACTAATGACTCAATGGGCATGAATAGTAAGTTGTATTTGTATGTACCTTGCAAGCTTTAATAATCGTATTCTTTCTTAGTATTTTACATCAGGAAATAGATAACAAAGAAAAAATTGCAAATATGTAATAATCATTTCAAGCGCTTTAAAAGATAGAAGATATTGAATGAGGGATCATACAGGTATATATTTCTATTCGAGCCATCTATAAATAGTTTAACTTCGTCTACAATGACCCTAAAGCCCTAAACACAAAAATATGTACAAACTCTTTATTATAAGTCACTTTTAAGAAAAATTCTATTTTTGTTATTTCAAATAAAGTCATACAAAGATATTGGGATTTATTATATTTTATGTCATTATTTAAGACGTTAATTAATATTATATACATTTTCATATGAATATTTTATAATCTTTCTTATACAGAAAGAAAAAATTTTACTGTGTTACGACAAAACTATTGTATATATATTATATAGTTAATTACATTATTTGATAATATAGTAAAATCAACAGCGCTACATGCTACGGCAGTATAAAATATACTATGCTAACTATGTCAACAAATCTTTCTTCTTTATGTATTTCACGATCAGCTTTTGATAAAGAGAGCTATTTGAAAGCTCCAAGACAGAAAACCATTACTGTCGGCCCTGCATACCTTTCATCAATATAGTTTAGAAGGCAAAGGCTTTTAAAGGGCTTTCAAATGTTCAGGGACGCGAAGAGATGTAAGTTGTTACGTACAGAGCACGTCCTTATATAAGTAGTCTCATATAAATTTATATTTGGGTAAACTTCGCATAAATGTCATGATTATTATTTGATATTATTAAACATGTAATGGCGGACAATAAACTTTAATTTTCTTTGTTAAACAACTTTAGGATTAATTTTTCATTCTAAGCACAGTCTCAAAAAAGAAATCGATTCCACATTTGTCGAAGAATATATTTTCAGAATTGATGCGTCTACATTATATAATCTGTATAATTATTGGAAATTTTTACGCGTATATCTTCTATTTGTTGAATTTCTCATATAAGATGTTTTAACAGTTCTCTTAATTAATTATTTATAGCATCGTACTAATACTTTGATACTCTATATACAATCATTTACTAATATGGTAAATATTTTTTGAAGAAAAATTTAATTTAATTTAATTTAATTACTTTTTAATATTTTGAAGGTTTTTTAATAAAAAAATTATATCAGGATTAAAAAAAAATTTATGATGACTTGATTTATTAATACAAAGATAAAAATAAAGATAAAAATTGATACAGAGAAGAATCTATTAAAACAATAAATTTAATGATATAATAAATAAATAAAGTTAATAATTAAAATGTAAAATGATTGATTATTTCTTTTGTTCCAAATTCAAGTTAGAACTTGCGCGTAAGATTTAATTTACGTACTGATAGATAAAGCGAGAAAATTGTCCGTTCGAGTAATCGTGATACGATGCGATACAAGATGAAATACAAGAAATTTAACGATACGTAATATAAAAGAAAAATATGTTAGTCCTTTAGTCGGATTTCAGTGAGATTAAATAATGTTATTCTAATTCAAACATTTATATAACTGCATGTAAATAAGTAAAATATAAACAACTTAAATATCAGCATAATGTTAAATTGAAGCATGTAGTACTGGATCGAATTTAAAATTCATTGAACTCACGTTTCTTATATGCAAACTTCAACAGCTTGTAGATTTTAATAATCTTGAAAAGAACAAAACATTGGAAAAACTTACACGGCTTCAAAACAACTGTCTGACGCGTCGATATTGGCAAACTTATTTGTTTTCGTGAACAGTTTCCTTGAAGTTACAATTTCCTTGAAGCGTAAATTGCACAAATCTTGTTTTTGATTGTTATAGTCTGTTTTCATGTCAACTCTTTACTAATGCAATTATGAAACAAAAACGTACCTGTACATATGTAACTTGTTGTTTTGAGGAAAACGTTCAAGGTTTTTTGTATTAAAAAAAGAATATATTTTTTATAATTTTCCGCGAAAAAATTTCTGAAATTTTTTGACAAATGAAAATCTAATATGCTTGTCTAGCAATAATCTTTCATTTATATATGTACATATACATATATATATATATATATATAGTATATATAATATATAAATTCTGAAATATCAAAATATAATGTCATATTCAAAGTGCAAACCTAAACTCCTTCAATCTATATCAATTGTATTTTTATATAATCTGATTTTTATGTATACTAAACAATAAGAAAATGAATATTAGAAATAATTTGTGATAATTTTCAATCAAAGAAAGATGATATTATCTGGAACTATTTTAAGTTTGATATGATAAAAAGAACTTAGAATTAAAACAAGAAAAACATTTTCAACAAACTTTGAGTGCATTTTTTATGTATTTTCTATTTTTTTTCTTTATTTGTATTTACACGATTTGCATTTAACGATTTCTAAAATCTAAAAGGATCAGAGTGAATTCTCAAAGAATAAATTAATTTTTTTCTTACGTGAGTCTTGATGTTTAAAAAGAGACGTAAGCATCTCAATATAGTTGTTCCTAAGCAAAATTATAAATTATTTTTAAATATATAATACATATATAACACATATAATATGTATATTGCGAGACATAAAAAATTAAGTTGACATTTAAAATAAAGCTTGTAATATATCTCTTGCACCTTTATTTTATTCTTACCGTAATATCTTTAATATTTAAAAATGTGATAAGTAAGAACTTATCACAGTGTCGATAATTTTGCAAAGCATATTCGCGCAAATAATTATATTTGCACCAACATCATTTTATTACATCTCACGTGCAAACTCTCGATAGGACAATGCATGCGCGTTCTCGCAGTGCAAACGTATGCTTGGAACGAATAACGCATCACTGATGCCTTCAAATTAATAAAATCATAATAATTGAAGAAGCAATTGTTCATATACATATAAAGGAAATATTTTAATAACATTGGCTCGAATCCTAGATGACCAAAGACATAAAAAGAAAATAATTTCGTACATATGGTATATTTTTATTGTACCTTTATACTTGATTCTTCAATTAATAAATTAATCAATTATCGGTTTCGAATACGCTGGCAAACTAGCTGAAACATAAAATTTACTAAAGGGCGGCAGAATATTTTCGTAGCATGAACAATAAAAAAGGGGTGGCAGATGGTTGGTGAGAGCGATCATTTTATTTTTCCTCGGTGTTTCCTCGTGTATCTTCAAGCAGAAGCCAATCTCTTTCGGAGTTGATATACCAAGCAAAACATTTCATGAATTGTTCGCTGCAAAACGCAGCATCGCACCAAGCCATTGATAACTTGACAGTGCGTGAAAGCTCTTTCGCTCAAGGTGCAAATGTCTCCATTCCATTCCGTGGCAGCGCATTCCAAGCTCCGATCGAGACACGATGAGCGATTTTGAATTATAATTTTGATTTTTAATTTCACATTATTTCGATATTTTATGTATAAGATACACTTGACTTATTTCTCCTTTTTGTATATCAATCAAATAATATATGGACGAAAAGGATGCCCGGTATAAATTAAGTTGATACTCAGCGTTATAACTCTATAAATCAACTCAATTACATTATTTTGTATATTCTCTATTTATTTTTTGTATGTGATCTCTAATATTTTATATATATCGTTTCTATATTACATGTACATCGGGGGGTTCACTTATTTTACATATTCATATACTATATTTTACACATTAGTTCCAGAATATCGCTCCTTAATATGATATTATCATGCTAATATTATAATGTGCTTCAAGAAGGATTTCGCTGAATTTATTTTCGGAGAATACTGTATTTTTTTATCATGAGATCGTACTTTCGTCGCGTTGTAGCGGCGGGGGTACAACCAGTAAGCGGTCCAACATCGAACATCGCAAGCTTGTGTGTGTTTTATAATGCCTTGTGCTGGTGGATGTGTCGAGGGATCTCGGGGAGGTCTGTGTCCATCGCCGAAGGTCACACGATGTGGGACATACAAAGCCTCTGTGAACATTGTGCATTCGGCATCAATGGAAGCTGCGTGACAAGGACAAAGGAAACGCCAAAAAATTAAGGAGAATGGAAAAGGAGAATGGAATTAGGGTTACATACTTAATCATGCTTCAATCCCTGCGATCTATCGTATTTTCATAATTATATATCAGAACTTGTTACGCACACAGCCGATTTATTTCATTTAATGATCAAAAATGAAAGGAAAAAGATACACGCACTTGTTAGCATACAATTACGGATATCGACCGGTAAAAGATATTGAATCGACATATTATAAAAACACGTGAGTCACAACGAACGCGTATAACCGTATTTTCCTATGATATTTCGACATGGGAATATCGCATTTCTATTCCAGGTAAATCATGACGAATACTCGATAGATCGCACGGAAAGAGAAGAGGAAGGATATTGGATTCAAACTGTTCCACATCGACGTGGACAGTTCCTCGATCGAACCGGCATTCCTGAAAGGATTGGTTACAAGTAGACCAAAAAAAAAAACACAGTTTCGCTCGTATTTTATTATTAGTGGTAAATAAGTAATTGAATTATACATGTATCCAGAAGAGAGTTAAGAGAATGAAGATTGTAAACGTTTATATTAGGAAAAAAAAGGACGCGTAAAAATTAATATAAAAAAGAAAACTGCTCGAGAAAGTAAATTTCATAAATATTTATAAATTTTCTAAAGAAATAAAAAATTCCAAAAATTGACTTGCTGGTATACACATAAATATTAAAACAAGACCGAAGAGATGAGAGATAAAGTCAATTCATAATTTGAATAGTAATTGGAAGGATAAAGGAAATATATGTATATATATGTATATGTATATATATGTATATGTATATATATATATATATACACACATATATATATCTTGGCAAAATATGAAAGGAATAGATTAGGCATGATATATCAGCCGGTTGTCAATGTCAGCCTTCCAATGGATCGAAAGAGAAACAATCGATATCACAGGTGAATGCACTCACCGCTGCTTCGTCTTAACGCGACGATAGCGGTGAAATTCCGTCGGGTCGTTGGGGTCGAAGCCCCTGCGATGTTTCGGCGGCGAAGACATGGCGGCCGCCTTCTTGGCTTTACCGTCGCTCGGATTCGTGGTGATAGCGGAGTTGTTATTGCCGCTGATGACGGCACAGATAGTGCCGTTGTTG